GGTTTTCAGAAGGTAATTTTATTGTTCCGGACTTAAGAATTTGGCCGGAATTCGGAATTGGGAGATCCGGTTTTCAGAAAGTATTTTAATACACTAAGAATAGGAATGATTTTGGGACTTTAAAAAACGACCGGTTTTGCGTGAAATCCGGTTTTCTGGGTGGTCGGTATTGGGAGAGTTGACTGTATAGGTAATCTTACAATATTTTCATGTTCTTTAGTTAAATAAAAGATATAAAGTGATGAATTAATACACTAGACACATGATTTTATTCGCAGGCCTAGAGGCTAGGTCTAGCCTAGCTAGGTAACATCGTTCGTTCATACATACGTATATTGAGCGTTAAGTACGTATTAGGTTAAAGGTTACCACAAATTTAACCCAACCTCTATTTTACGAATCCCCGACTTACGTATGCCCTCCGGTCCCGTACCGTACGTAAAATCGAGGTTCTACTGTATCTACAAATGTCTAATTGTAACCAACAGAGTGCTAACTATTGTTCGTCTATATTGAAACCGCTGTGGTTGTCATGCCAGTGGCTTATTCCAAAAACTTACCATTTCCAACATGTGTGGTTGAATTTCGCTTAGAGTTTGTCCAAGGTGTTTTTCTGTCAATCCTGAAAAATATTATAATAATAATTCTAACAATATCAACAATACTGTTCAGCACAGTTCATAATAAGATCCTCTAACACCCTTTAAGTACCCTACAATTATCCATACTATGGTGAAAAATTATCCCCGCCAAACTCCACCCTAGTATTTCTAAGTCTTGGATTCAGGCAAAGATTCTGCAGGTTGTACTTTACTATAATACTATGAATGTGAAAAAAAACTGTGAATGTCTTGACATTTTAAATGGAATGCACTCTTCTGAAGATAATAACAATTTAATTTAATTTTTTTTGTATTATTAAGATTAAAATCGCCAATACTCAATCAGAATAAAGTCATTATTAAATTTTATTGAGACATAAATATAAATAATGAAACAATATTTTATATTGTACATTTTGTAGATAGCAACAAGGGATCCACAGTTTGCGTTATCCATGTTTAAACGACTTAACAAAAACTATGTACTGTATGCTATTTTTAGAAATTTATCTGGTAATTTTTACTTCATTCAAAAGTGCTTGCCTTACAATCACAGGGTCCTGGGACACAGGATTACAGGACTACCTAAACCTGAGACTTAGTTTATGTTAAAAATTTCTATATTATTTTGTATATTTAGGAGCACCATTGAGTATCAGCTGACCTTGGGTTAGCAAGAAGAGCCAGCCCTCTATAAACAAAAATATGGTGTAAAAAATAATACAAAAAAAACCCCAAATGGTTCAGCATGAATATTAAATGCAGTTTATTTTAATTATTCTATTTGGTTTCCTAATGTAGTAATTTGCCTGTGTCTGTACTTTCCTCTGGACTGTTATTTGTAATTCTGTTTACCTTTTTGGTGATCAGTATCCATAGTAATGGAATTGAATTGTTTATAGCAGTTTTCATAGTAAATTCAATGGCTGTAAGAATACGGGTCGAGTTCAGAAACTGTGTGGCTGATTCTAAATTGGACATACATACAAGTGTTTAAAACATGACTTGTAGTGATTAAGCATTTGAGTTTCCAGAGTTGTCCCTACTGTATATTTTTTCTATGAATCAACTGATGGCTGTGTATTGACACACATGCACATTAACATCATCAATGCTTTAGAGTTTCTGCAAGGAAAGATATTTCAATATGAAATTGCTTGATGCTTACCCAATGTTGCAACTTTGATGAGAATTGCATTAATGCCACAATTGACCATCTCACCCAAGAGTTCTTCTTGGTCCCGTTGCCATAAATATGCAAGTGCTGTTAACCCAAGCCTTGTACACCTGAAGTAATTGAGGAAAATTTTATTTTTTGCAGATAAATTAACCAGATCTTTGTAGCTAAAGTACAATAAAACCCAACAATTGGGAAACTCATTAGGCTGCAAATCAAGGAAAGAGACACCTTTTAATAGTATGACCACACCTATTTAGGGGGCAACCCTGTTAATAGAATTCCAGCATTTAGAAATTTTATTAGAAAAGTACTTACACATTCTCTACTCGAACTCTCTGGTAATTTGATAGAATAGCACCAACTGAAACTGCTTCAACATTCTGCTCCATCTACAAAAACAGAGATACAGGAATCAATTAAATAGCACTTATGTATAGTATATTCAAATTGTGTTGGTGTACATAGAAGATATTCTTTTAAGCAACTGTAAAGTATTGGTGAGCATGTGAACCTGTAGGAACAGTAGGCCTACTTTCTACAGTTGTAGTTCACTTATTATTAGCCCTTGATTGTGTACTTTTGCAGGACATACATTGATACAAATCAAATCTTAAGTCACGATGCTAAAACACCACCTAGTTTTTAGGCTAACTAGACCAAACCATTGAAACTAAACTCAACTTTTAGGGCATATAAAAAAATGATTAGATTATCACTCCCGTCCGCGTCAAAAGATTTGGAATTATTGATGCAGAAATATTTAATTTTTTTTCCCATTTTTCTTTTTTTTTGCCGCATCATTTATTTTAACTGCATAAAAAAATACTTTACAAAAAAACAAATGCTCACAACAAATAAATGAATTGGCTCCGAATTCGGCAGACTTTAAACTCTTCCAATTGATTAGATCAGACATTGGTCGCCGTAAGTTGAATGCAAAGCCAGTCAATTCTTTAAATTTGTTTATTCTTGCTAAAATTAAACAGTTATCTAACTGCGGCTAAAAAAAAAAAGAGACCTGCCCAGTGGGCTGATCAGATCTTCCTTGCGATGGGTGTGATTGTTTGGATTGGTTGTTTCTGGACAAAAAATAACCTACGACGTAAAGGAAGAAAGTTCAGGCAAAGGCTGGCCTAGCTCGAGGTAAGACTAAGACCTAGGCACCTATTATATGCCAACTAACTAAGTTTTGGATAGGCCACTGAATCGTAGGACAGTTGTTTAAGTGTATCTGTCACTTTGAAAAACGATGTCATTTTCAATTTGTTCATGCACACGGAAATCCATGGCATATATAATCCTACCCCCTCTCCCCAAAAAAAAACCTCCCACCCTCGTCAATTTTCTTTTTTAATGAGTGATAATATAATAATTTTTTCTATGTGCCTTTAGGGTGTTTTTTATATTAGGGGTCATCCATTATTTTCATCATTTTCACGAGCGTACAAAACGTACGCTGGGGAGAGGGGGTTGACGGTGTGTGTACGCTTTTCAAAAAGTACAAAAATGATGATTTGGAAATGTTAGCCTAGCCGTTTTTGTACCTAGCAATTCATTTAGTAAATGTTAAGTTTATCAATTATTTATACACAGCATCATCTTGCATCCCTAATTAACGATGTGTTGATAAGCATTGTGTACTTATAAACAATTTCAAAATACAAGGGAAATGCACTCTAGCTCCATTAATTTAAATAAACTGTAAGCCAGCAGCCTAAACCACAGCTTGACAGCACTGAGCAATGGGACCATGTGTTTTACTGTGCTGTGCTAGGCTAAGCCTACCTATTTCTTCTACTTCACAAGGCCTAATTCCTACCTTTTAAATTCAATGAACCTACATCCACTCACTCTATTTAACATTTTAAAACACAATTAATTATTTGTATTCCACAGACACTCATGATAACATAAGTTTTATGTGTTCTCTAGTACTAATATACCACACCAACACTCCACAATCATCAATCACAAACAAGCCTAAGATCTTGTGCATGAGGCAGTGAATTGGCCCTAATCCAAAAAAACCCAACAAATCAGCACCACCAATCTAGGTGAAAGGTTAGGTATGTGGTTTCTTTCTTGTGCATCATTTTTTTCATGAACTTGCTTTCAACTTTGTCTAAATATTCAATTATTTTGTCCAGGCCTATGTGGTAATAATAAATTTAAACAAAATGAAAGTTTATTAATTGTTGTTTATATTTTTTAAATGATTTATTATTAAAATACGCAAGTTTGCTGTATTAAAAATGGAACCTAGGCCTACCACTATTTTGGTTATGTGGTTATTGGGCAAAGATTGGGCTCATGTTTTTATATCAGTAGACTGATTGTGGCACCAAGTATTGGCAGTCTATTGTCATTGTAACCAAACTAAGCAATCAGCATACTACAGTTCTGGTGTTTTATAAGTTTTGGTAGCAGATTGTTTGAGATTTTTCAGTTAAGGATAGTATTGTTCCTGTCAGCATGGAGTATTGTACTTCAGCAAAAAATATCAAAGATATTTTTATTTAAAAAAAAAAAAAGATTAAAAGGAGGCAAAAAATAAAGCACACACAACAGAATGAAAAATTTAAGGCAATTAATTCAATTTGACAATATAAAAAAAAAAATCAGCAAATTTATTTTGAAAACGTGTATAGAGAGCTGTGCTGTCACACAATGTTTCATCATGTATTGCACACTACTTGGGGGGGGGGGTGTGAGGAGGAGATACATACAGTAGAACCTCGTTTTTACGTACCCCAGTTATACGAACTCTTGGTTTTACGTACGCCTCATATGGACGATGACGTCATCAAAAACCTCGAAAATATTCAAAACAAACTGCCCTTTTGAGAGCAACCATAAGTAAAAAACTATAACAATAAACAAACCATAATGCAACGTATTTTCATTAAACAGCAACGTTGATTGAGTCTAATACCGGGTCGTTATAATCTAAAACCACGTAAACCGAGTGAGATGAACAACTACCAATGGTGCTCAGAATAATTGCTTTCCTCCTTAGCTTCGTGTGGCAAACCATGGAAGAACTCGTCTGATTGAATTTTCTACACGAAGCTGAGTAGACATAGTTTCGTACACGAACGCTAATTGGTTGGCTCGCCCAGTGCATAGCATGTGGTTGCTGTTTCACGTACACGAACGCTAATTGGTTGGCTTGCCCAGTGCAGCGCACATGGTTTTAGTTTGTCTCAACAGGCCCAGACAACACCACAGCTCTGTTGTTTAGAATAGGCTTGATGGGGAATTCCCAAGTTATACCTTTGTCGTATAGGTAATCTTACAATATTTTCATGTTCTTTATTTTAGTTAAATAAAAGATATAAAGTGATGAATTAATACACTAGACACATGGTTTTATTTGAACACTTTATTATGACATCGTAAAGTGATGAATAAAACACTAAACACATGGTTTTATTCGTAGGCCTAGAGGCTAGGTCTAGCCTAGGTAACATCGTTCGTTCGTACATACGTTTATTGAGGTTACGTACGTATTAGGTCAAAGGTTACCACAAATTTAACCCAACCTCTATTTTACGAATCCACCGATTTACATACGCCCTCTGGTCCCGTACCGTACGTAAAATCGAGGTTCTACTGTACATATATGCGAATATATATATATAAATCATCAAAGAAAGGTAAATACAGTGTTCGAATAAAGGACTGAATAAATACATCGTGTAGCATAGCTCTCAACGAATGTAGTCGTGTAAATAAATGAATAAAGAAATTGTGTAATACAATCCTCTGGCAGGACTCGAACCTGCGACCTCTCGCTGTCAAGGCGAGTGTCATAACCACTAGACCACGGAGGCTTCATGGTTGAACAGATTCAAATACCACCAGATACACTCTATTACACAATAGGAACGGCTAGAAACAAATAGGTGCATATAACATAAATCAAGGTAGCCGTTAACACTGTTAAATCATATATAAAGAAAGGTATATATATATATATATATGGTCGAACGTTTGTTTGGGTCTATACCCTAGCTGCACTGATGAGGCCTGGAAGGCCGAAACGGATCCGTCTGCAGATATTGGGATTCCTTCCAGTGGATACTTAGTTTATTTTGTCATTCTGATCGGATTTTATATATATATATATATATATATATATCCTCCTCAAATTTACCTTTACTATTTTCAGAAGTTCATAAAGGTCCTCAACCTCATCACCTTTAGTAAGCTTGTAATCCTTGCCTTGCTCTATAGAACCTCCATGGATGTAACGTTGATACAAAGGTAATCCTATGGCTTCGGAGTACAGCTCTATAACATGATGACCTACTGTTTGGAACATGTAGCTATCAAGCTCATCTGTAACAAGAAGCTATTGTAAGTGTTTGGTAAGATTCATTAATCTTCAGGGGCGGATCCAGAAATGTCCAAAAGGGGGGGCCGGAAGGGGGGCCGAAAGTTGGGCCGATTGAGACAACACTGTCGTAGGG